AAATCTGATTTAGCATTAAAATCTTTCAGCGATATTGTTATTTTCATTTCATTCGATTTCGATTGTTCACATTCCTATCTGGCTTTTTTAGTTTCGGGTTCAATTTCCTCTTCCTTTTCATTCAAATATTGGTGCTGAACACAAAACTTACTAGGAACCTGATTGCTTCCTCCAAACAACGGAGAATTCGGGCAACACTGTACAATTCTAGGCATCCCAAATTTAAGATGTACGTTCACTTTAGGCGCTTTACACATTGGTCTTCTAAGCTTCTCATTGCCATCGATGGACACATAACCTTCTTTACACCCTTTCTGTTCACATACATGTTCCATCCTCTGAAAAATATAAATATAACAAATTAAAATTAGACCTGTACGACACAGATCTGTCAGATTCCGAGCTGTTAAACATTTTCATCTATTGTAACTATTGTGTTATTTAAGGATTGAATGTAGAATTTTTTGCGTTTCTTTTGCAATGCCATTCATGGAAGATTTAATACTTGATAACGTCCATAACTCCAATAAACGCAAAGAAAATTAAAATTCAATTGAAGAAATAGCTTACATTTAACAAGCTAAATAATTATCTTTAACTGACATTTAAAAATAGATAGAATATTAATAAAGAACACTATTATAGATATGTTACTCCTTCCTTTGATTTTAGCTACGTTTCATTTCGCATACAGGAATCTTTATTGCCCCTTATCTGATGTACATTTGATTTGATTGAAAGACTATTATGACAGTTGTATTTTTCTGTTTAGGGTTATGACCTAGTTTACACCTGTTATAAATGTATTGTTGACAGTATTACATAATCCTTATAACACCCATCCTTATAACACCTTTATAATCTCTGTAATTAGAGTATAATTTATTTTAATAAAGTGTTGAATTTTGTTTTTGCATAGTGATTTATTTATTGCTTTAAAACTGTAAATTTGTTCATTATCAAACTTTTCGAATTTTTTCTGTGAGATGAATAGAAGTCAAACTAGACCTGTTCGCTACAGATCTGACAGCTTCCGAGCTGTTGTGTATACGTTCTATTGTAACTATTGGGTAATTTAGGAATTGAATATAAATTTTTGCGTTTATCATGCAAGATTTAATATGTGACAATCTGACGTCCATATCGCCAATAAACGCAAAGATTCAATCAAAGAAATAACTTATGTTTAGCAAGCTAATTAACATCTTAATGTGACATTTACACGTTAGCTAGAACACTATAATAAAGAACACTCTTATAGTACTTCTTCCTTAATTTTGCAACGCTTCAATTCACATACAGGAATCTTTATCAAGCTGTTGACTTGTTACATAACCCTTTTAACACTGATTGTAGAATTAGTCTTATTAATAATTAAAGTATATTTAAAGTAAAATTTGTATATATGTATAATGATTGATAATGTTTTTAAGCTGTGAATTTGTAGTTATAAATCTGTTCAAAAATATCTAAATAGCTAAACTCGAAAGCTGTAAATATTTTCTTTTAAAAAATCAAGTGTTTAACTTTAGTTATATTACAGGGATAATAGACTGTTGAGTTGAACCTTTGACCTGTAATTTAGCCAGAGAACAATTAATCTGATTTTGTAATTTTATTTATTTAATTTGCAAAATATTTTCATTTTGATTTTTAACATACTTCCAATTGAAGATGTGAATTTGCAATTTAATTACCCGTTGGAATTTTTTTGATATCTTAATTAGAACTCAAACTAGCAATGTCTCTTATAAATTGCAAATACGAATTTTGGGAAAATAATTCATTTTCAAAACCCCATAAAATCAAAAGTAATCTACCAAAATGACAAATGAAGGTATCAAATGAACGTAGATCCAAAGACGCTATTTTGGCTGAAGGTAAAGAGTCGAAGAAGGTCAAGGTTAAAAGTTATCAGCCTTCGTATTCAAGGCCTATCAGAAAAAACTTTGACCAGTTTGGTATATTATCTGGAACATGCTGAGTAGCAAAACACAAATATTCCAATTCGAAGAGATCTATTTTGATACACGTAGATTCCATGTCTGTATAAATGCCTCTCAAAGCTCAACAGTTACTTATATATGGTGTCATCCGACATAAACAATTAAGGATAGACAAAGAGAGATGACAATACCCAAATAAAATCATGGATCAAATGATAGACAAAGAGAGATGACAATACCCAAATAAAATCATGGATCAAAGGATAGACAAAGAGAGATGACAATACCCAAATAAAATCATGGATCAAAGGATAAACAAAGAGAGATGACAGGTTTGCTTTGTTAATTAGATAGTAAAACAGATTGCTTTGTAACAAATTAATAATGATTATGATGATGACTTCTTCGGAAATTAATTTCAATTAATCAACAGATTATAGGATTAAAATGTATTCTTTTATATGTTCCTTAGATGTCTATGGCTTCTATGTCTTAGCCTATATATAAATTAAATCCAGATTCTTTTGAATTTTTTATTACCATATTCAATAATAACTTTTAAGATTTGATGACATTCACAAAAATCATACATTTTTAAGCACATATAAAATTCAAATACAATAAGAGGTTTTAAGCACATTTTGACATTACAAAAATCAGACATTCTTTTCAATTCAGCATCTAATATTGTTTCATTTTTTGTCCGCTGGGGTTTTTTTAACTAGAGTGGGGCTTTTGTCAGCCATTCATATAAATCATGTTGGTTATTTAATAATTTTGGTGCTTATTGTATGATATCATCATACATCATGATATTATCGTTTGTCAATACGTCAGTATTAACGAGTGTCATTCAAATAATGAAAAGCGCCAAAAAGCTACTAATAGCTGATTCCAATAGAGCCATAGTCAATAAAATAGCGGCTACAGCTATTCTAACCGCCCTAATATACAAGAGCGCTAAAATAGCGGCTATTAGCTAATATTAATAAAATGACCACAACCATACCACGGGAAAACGCTAAAATAGCGGCTACAGCTATTCTAACCAGACTATTTTAGAAAAACTCTCAAATAGCGGCTACAGCTATTCTAACTGGACTATTTTAGAAAAACTCTCAAATAGCGGCTACAGCTAGTCTAACCAGGCTATTTTAGAAAAGGGCTAAATTAGCGCATACAGCTATTCTAACTGGACTATTTTAGAAAACTCTCAAATAGCGGCTATGGCTATTCTAACCAGGCTATTTTAGAAAAGGGCTAAATTAGCGCATACAGCTATTCTAACT